CCGCTCGGTTCCCGGCAGCGAGCCCCGGGTCTGCCGAGCCCGCGGCCTGACCCGGCCGGCAGTCCTGTCCGCCGCCGCGGAACTGGTAGCTTAGGACACATCCGCCGCCCCAGGCCTCAAAGCCAGAAGAAAGCCACAGTCCCCAACCCTTCCGCCCGTCGACTCAGCCACCGCGAATCCAGGCCTCAGGCTCACCCTCTTCCCCCGAACTCCAGGGTCAGGGTCCCTGATCAGGAGCTGTAACCCTGTTCCCAGAACAGACACCCTCCGAATTTATTTCTGGGAGCTTTAGTCCCAAGTGGGTATTTCCCCTGAACGAATTTCGGGGAGATTCAGGAGAAGCGAGTGCATTTCTAAAGGGCCTAGATTTCTTTCCTGGGCATCGGCTTTCATCTCAGATCAGGGAGAATGACGGTCCCCAAATCTGAGCACAGGCCCGAAGGGAGGCCTTATAGGAGAGGGCCTGACAGGCAGAAATGGGGTCTCCGGGGAGCAACAACTGCAGGTGGGGTCTCCCTGGCAGTGATAAGAGGACAGAGCAGCAGATGCCAGGGAAACACTGCTGGGAACTTCCTGGCAGTGGGGCGCGATGCAGGGGAGACATAAAGGTGGAGAGGGGTCCTCCGACACAGAAGAGCCCCGTCCCAATAGCCTCTCCTCCCTTTCCTCCCTCCCAGGCGAATGTTCCCCCCTTTCAAGGTGCGAGTCAGCGGCCTGGACAAGAAGGCCAAGTACATCCTGCTGATGGACATTGTGGCTGCTGATGATTGCCGCTATAAGTTCCATAACTCGCGCTGGATGGTGGCAGGCAAGGCCGACCCCGAGATGCCCAAACGCATGTACATCCACCCAGACAGCCCGGCCACGGGGGAGCAGTGGATGGCCAAACCTGTGGCCTTCCACAAGTTGAAGCTGACTAACAACATCTCCGACAAGCACGGCTTTGTGAGTGTATGCAGGGGTGGGGATGATACTGCGCACCCAGCCCTGCAGCTCGGTGGGAGAGCAAGGGGGCAGGATTTCCCAGCCAGGGAGCACTGGCCAGATCCCCAGAGTGCCCCTGCCCGGGTCACTGCCCTATGGCCTACACAGGCTGGGCCTGGGCCCCGAGGGCTCGGGAAGCCTGGGGAATGGCAGAGCAGCAGCCGGGAGGCTCCAGGAAGCTCACAATTTCTATTCCGGTCAGGCTTCCGAGGGTCCCTCCTAGGGGTCAAGTGGGAGGCAGGTGCGGCAGAACCAGGTCAGGCAGCGCAGTCGCTGGGAGGTCACCCTACTCCTGGATTCTAGGTACTGAGCTTGGAAGACTTGCCCATGACCTCAACTTGTTCCTCACTCTTCCCAAGATCCGTGTCCCTAGCCCTTCCCCAAGACTAGAGGATTTAAAAGTTAAAACAACCTCCCCAGAGCCTCCCTGAGACCTTTCCCTCCTCTCACAGGCAGACGCCCAAGCAGGAGGAGAGGGTTCGGGGGTTCTCTCCGCTTCTGCTTGATCCGAGGCCCCAGCGAATGAGATCGGGGGAGATTTCCATGAGGCAAAAGGGACTACACATTCTGATGTAGGGCAGTCGATGAGCACACGGGAAGCTCCGAATCCTCTCTCCGTGGGGTTACTGGGGGCTTGGCAATGTGACCAGGAAGAGAGGTGAAGAGTGGAGTTGCAGGGGGTTTATTATTTGTTTTATTTCTGTTTTCAACTGAGGGGAAATTTTTTTAATGGAGAGAGAGATAGGAGCTCTGTGGAAGAAAAGTGAGAGGGGGGAAAAGAAAGAAAAAGAAATATAGAAGAGAAAAAAAGACAGGAGGAAATGGGAGGTAGGGAGAGTACCAAGAGAGAGACCGAGAGATGGAGAGGAGGGTCCCCAGAGAGTAGAAAATCTCAAGCCAAGGGCTGGGGCTGCTGGCTAACCCGCGCCGCCCCCCGTCCCCCGCAGACCATCCTGAACTCCATGCACAAGTACCAGCCGCGCTTCCACATCGTGCGAGCCAACGACATCCTGAAGCTGCCATATAGCACCTTCCGCACCTACGTGTTCCCCGAGACCGACTTCATCGCGGTCACTGCCTACCAGAACGACAAGGTACCCCCGCCCCCCGCAACACCGTGCAGGCTCCAACCCTCCCTTCACACCCACCCTCAGCACCCCCGGACCCACTCTGCTCGCTCCTGGCCCGCTGCTGAGCACCAAGTCTCGCATGCATAAGCGCAGCACCCACGGAAACCCCCCAGGTCCCCTCCCAAGCCCAGGACACGTACACACACGCTCCCTTGGGGCGTGCGAACAGCTGGGCGCTCGTTCGGGTGGAGATGTTTACTTAGCAATTAGCAGAGACTCGGGGCCCGCGCTGACATTTTTACATTTTATTCGTTTATTTCTTGGCTCAGGGATGAGAGTTTAAATGAAAAGAGGGCCCCCGAGGCAATCTGCCCAGGTTCAACTAACACTAGAAACCCGGGGCCCAGCTTTTACTCTCCCGAGGAGCCAGAGGGTGGGACAAGTGACACAGTCCCCCAAAGCACCCCCGGCTACTGCTCTGGGTCAGTCCAGGCCTCGGACCCCTTGGGAGGTGCTTAGAAAATTTTCCTTTATCTTGAAGGGCTTTTTCTGCTTGCTACCTTTCGACACTCTCCTTCTAGTGGGGCAAAGCATCACCCCCACTAGGCCTGTGCCCATGGGCACCGTTGTCGAGTGAAAGAGAGTGTACGAGTGTCCCTTCCGGTGGTTCTGTCTTTGTGAACGAGTGTGTTTGCCCGGCTGTGCGTGCACCATTTGGGGCGCCTTGGATACGGCTGGAGGTGTGTGAATTCGCTTGGTTCTGTGGGCACTCTGTTCTGCCTGCGTATACGTTCGTGCGCGCAGGCGGGTGTGTGATGACTTGTCTTCGGTGTACCTGCGGACTTGCGGTGCACAGCTGCCTCCGTGCGCGCCTGCCCAGGTGCGGAGTCGTGTAGCTTGCGTGACCTCGTGGGCCTGTGTGCATGCTTGGGCCGACTTCTACTCTGCACGCAGCTCTGGGCCTGTGTGTGCGTGTTGAGAGATGATACCTCAAATAAAGTTTTTGGAGGAGGAGAGAACGTGTCGCGAGTCTCTCCCACCAGCCTCACCTCGGGGTGTCCCATCCCAGGAGGGCGTGTACCAAGTGGACACTTCCCAGGTCTCGCCTCTGCGGCCGGTAGCCACTGACCTCGGGGTGCCCCCCGGCCGGGCTGGAAGAGCCACGGCCTGATCTAACGCCGTCCCCTCGGTCCCCGCAGATCACTCAGCTGAAGATCGACAACAACCCGTTTGCCAAGGGCTTCCGGGATACCGGGAACGGCCGGCGGGAGAAAAGGTGAGGGGCGGGCGGGACAGCCCTGCGGCGGGTGCCCGGGGGAGCAGGAAGCAGGAGGGGGTCCCCGCTGACCCGCCCCGCCACCTCCCTCATCCCCAGGAAGCAGCTGACGCTGCCGTCCCTGCGCTTGTACGAGGAACACTGCAAGCCGGAGCGCGACGGCGCCGAGTCGGATGCCTCGTCTTGTGACCCTCCCCCCGCACGGGAACCACCGCCCTCCCCGGGCGCAGCGCCCAGTCCCCTGCGCCTGCACCGGGCCCGAGGTGAGCGTCCGGTGGTCGACCAGGGTTGGAGAGAGGGGGTAGGGGAGGGTCTCCTCTTAAGAACCTGGGGGGAAGCGTCAGCGATGTGTCTGGGAGAGAGCTTCCAGCCCGAGACTCCCTCGTAGCTAGAAGATCCGGCTGGACTCTGAGCTGGGCCCCTTGCGCGCTGTGTGACTGACTCCATGGCAGAGTAAGGTTTCCTCTGCAAGACTCTATTTCTTCCACTGTAAATATGGGGTCTTGGATTAGGTGACCTGCAGCTGCCCTTTGCCCGACTCTAGAAGCTCCTCTGACTCGGCCTCCCAAGAACAGCCCTTTCCCAGTCTCCCCGACCCGGCCCAGACACACGGAGAGGACCTCACGTCTGTCCCCGCCCGGGCCCCTGTAACCCGGCGCGCGCTCTCTCCCTGCAGCCGAGGAGAAGTCGTGTGCCGCGGACAGTGACCCAGAGCCCGAGCGGCTGAGCGAGGAACGCTCCCGGGCGGCGACAGGCCGCAGCCCGGCTCCGGACAGCGCCAGCCCCCCTCGCTTGAGCGAACCCGACCGCGCCCGGGAGCGGCGCAGTCCGGAAAGGGGCAAGGAGCCGGCCGAGAGCGGCGGGGACGGCCCGTTCGGCCTGCGGGGCCTGGAGAAGGAGCGCGCCGAAGCCCGGCGGAAGGACGAGGGGCGCAAGGAGGCGGGCGAGGGCAAAGAGCCGGGCCTGGCGCCGCTGGTGGTACAGACAGACAGTGCGTCCCCCCTGGGCGCCGGACACCTGCCCGGCCTGGCCTTCTCCAGCCACCTGCACGGGCAGCAGTTCTTTGGGCCGCTGGGGGCCGGCCAGCCGCTCTTCCTACACCCAGGACAGTTCGCCGTGGGACCCGGCGCCTTCTCTGCCATGGGCATGGGTCATTTGCTGGCCTCGGTGGCAGGCGGCGGCGGCAATGGTGGAGGCGGCGGGCCCGGGACCGCCGCGGGGCTGGACGCAGGCGGGCTGGGTCCCGCGGCCAGCGCAGCAAGTACCGCCGCGCCCTTCCCGTTCCACCTCTCCCAGCACATGCTGGCATCTCAGGTAAGGCCTGGGATGTGCGACAGCACGAAGGAGGGTGGAGGAGCGATCCGGGCAGCTGAGGCGGGCAGAGGGCTTTAGGGGTACCACAGGCGCATAGAGCCTCCAGCAGGCAAGAACTCCGGCCGGGGGAGACCTGGGGGACGCTCTCCATGACACTTAGGTTCTGAGAGACAACGACTGCAGGTTCGGGGTCTGGCCAAGGTGCTGCTTCTGGCTCCCAAGTGACCTTGGGCAGGTCCTGGGCCTTCTCTGGTAGTGTTTCCTTTCCTATGATACCAGGGAGGGGAGAGGTACCCATCAAGACACTTCAGACTGTCGGAATGGGGCTGCCCATGGCTTTTGTGAAGTCCACTCTCCTGGCCTCAGGAAATTTTTCTTGGGAATAATGACCCTTGGCCCACTGTCAGTCCTGAAAAGCTAGCATGGCTGGACAAAGGGAGGAGGAGAAATTTTTGCATTATTTTCTGGACAATTGGCCACCAAAATGACCCATTTCTCAGATGTTTCTGGCCCTTTTCAGATCCACTAGAAATCTGCCTTGGCAGAGGACAGAACTGGCTTTTTCCCCACCTAGAGTCCCCCAACACCCTCAGCCACATCTTGGGGAAGTGGGGTTCAGTTCCCCAGGCCCTGGTTGAAATTTTGAGCTCCCAGGAGAGAGTTTATGAAGATGTGGCCAGCGGCACAGTAAGGAGATCCAATGGGGAAAGCGGCCTCTTTGGTTGCTTGGGTGGAATATTCCCTGTGGAAAGATTTGGAATCTCTTCATTCATTTTCTTCCCTCTGAGGTTTCTGGCAAATTGAACCCTTGAGATCTTATCTCAAGGGAAGGAAAATAGGAGTTCAGGTCTGAGAAAGTTCCTTTGGTTCAGAAGAGAATATTTTTAAAGTTGGGGGGAGGTTGTGAAATGCATTTTAAACTGAGCTCAGTGTCAGGGTGTGTGGAGCGACAGAGGCACTAGCCTCATGTATCTGGGGCTCTGGGCTGGAGAGGAATCCTCCAGAGAATGGAGGTCAGGGCCTGGAGGTTTAATCTCTACCCTTGATTCTGTGTGTATGTGAATGCCTCCTCCTAGACAAACTCTGGTGATGGTCGTGGGCATCATAGAGGTCACGGGAAGTCAGGGCTTCTAGACACAGCCTGGTCAACAGGTGCAAAGGTACTCTCAACAGGTGAGAGTACCCAGCATCAGTTGGTATAGCTGCTGGTGCTTAACTTCCCCAGCCCAGTGCAGCCCCTCCCAGCCATCAGGTAGAGCCAAATCCCAGAAGATCTAAAGCCTCCTTCCTTTTTCCTGACCTGAGATGACAGGTCTGAAATGTCCAATGGAGCTTGACCCCCTCAGGAAGGGTATTTTCTCACTTCTGACTAAGCTGCTTCTTTTCGTCTCCCTGCTTGAGCCAGGCAGCACCATCATCCCCCTGCCTTCCTCCCCATACCTACACTCTCCGGGGAATGAGCCATTATCTCAAAGGTCAGATCATCTGAAAGTCAGCCTCATGAACTCAGGTGGCATTTGTCCAGGGGTTCCTGGCTGCTGTGCTCTACACAGGCAAAGATTTTGCATTCCTTCCTTAGCTGCTGCTGAGGGGCTGCCAGGAGTTCTTTGTAGAACATTCAGGCCAGTTTATGAGCTGGTTGGCACCTGTGCCCTTGTCCTAGTCCAGGCAGGAGTCACCACCCCCAGCCCCCCCACCCCAGCGGGTGAGTGGCGGGAGACTTTACAACGCTCTTTCCCCCCAGCCTGTACTGCTTTAGCCATTTTGAACAGATGGGATTTGGGAGAAGACAATGTTCTAAATGAACAGAACCTCCCAAGACAGTCCAAGCTGTCTGCTTGCCGCCTGGCCTTGTGCCTGTCCTGCTTCCTACCTCTAGGCCTCTGCCCATGCTAGTCCAGCCACCTGGAATGTCCTTTCACTTACCCCTGCTATAATAGCCAGCACACGGCTCAGTGGTACCAGGCCTTTTCATCATAACCTGAAGTAACCTCCCTCTCTACCTGGGTTTGGCTGTAGGCACACTGGCTCCTGCCTACCTGTGCCACCTGTGGTTATAGTTATGTGAGTTCTGGTTTTATAGCCCTAAAACAGTGGGGCAAGGATTCCTGGTTGTAGATCACCCACAGCACCCAGCTTCAGAAATGCTTCAGGCAGCATGTCTAACCCTTGTCTTTTTGTGTTTCTTCAAGGGAATCCCAATGCCCACTTTCGGAGGCCTCTTCCCCTATCCCTACACCTACATGGCAGCAGCTGCCGCAGCTGCCTCAGCTTTGCCGGCCACCAGTGCTGCCGCTGCCGCTGCTGCCGCCGCGGGCTCCCTCTCCCGGAGCCCCTTCCTGGGCAGTGCCCGGCCCCGCCTGCGCTTCAGCCCCTACCAGATCCCAGTCACCATCCCGCCTAGCACTGGCCTCCTCACCACCGGGCTGGTGGCCGAGGGCTCCAAGGCTGCGGGTGGCAACAGCCGGGAGCCCAGTCCCCTGCCCGAGCTGGCTCTCCGCAAAGTGGGGGCCCCATCCCGTGGTGCCCTGTCGCCCAGCGGCTCAGCCAAGGAGGTGGCCAGTGAACTGCAGAGCATCCAGAGACTGGTGAGTGGGCTGGAGAGCCAGCGAGCCCTCTCCCCCAGCCGGGAGTCACCCAAGTGAGGGGAATAACTTCGTATAGCATACAGGGGCCCCATCCCGTGGTGCCCTGTCGCCCAGCGGCTCAGCCAAGGAGGTGGCCAGTGAACTGCAGAGCATCCAGAGACTGGTGAGTGGGCTGGAGAGCCAGCGAGCCCTCTCCCCCAGCCGGGAGTCACCCAAGTGAGGGGCTGCCCAGCTGCTCCACTGCCACGCAGGCCTCCCGGGCTGCCTGCCCCTGATGCTTGGGATGTGTACAGCACAGAGTGGGTATTTATTTAAATAAAGGAGCAAAAGTGGGCTGCAGCAGCCAGAATAGAGCCTCGTCTGGCAAGCTGGGGCCTGGGACACTTCCCTGGGCCTCAACAAGGAATCAGGCTGCCAGGAACAGTCACTTTGGAGCCACTGGACTCGGTCCAGATCTGCTCCAGCGTCAAGGTGGCATCTGCGGGGTCTCTCCGGTCTTCCAGCGCTGCGGGGGAGACCCCATTCCGGGCCCAGCGGTCCCCCGGGAAACCAGGGGAGGGAGCTTTGGAGGGCGTCCCAAGGACCCTGGCCTTGGGCCTAGACGGTGTGAGAAACTGGGGTGGGGACGCTGGAGCCAGTGAAAACTGAAGTCAGTGTAGACTTGAGCTGGGAGGGGACCTGTCCTTTTAGTCTTCCCACCTCTTCCCCCCAAGACACAGGCGCCCCCCACCCCTGGGTCAGCGGAGGGAGTGGCACTTCTGCCTTGAGTCCCTAGGGAGAAAAAGATATTTATGAAATAAATGGTAATTTGTGTAAATAAGCTTTAAGGTTCCCAGAATATGCAAATTGGTATTAATTTATTCAAAGGTGTACATGGCTGTGTACATATATTTAGAGATTAACTCATAGCATTTAATTTTTTTTCCATTTTCCATGAGCATCTATATTGTACAGGGCTGAGGGGACCCTGACCGCGGGAGAAGGCCCCGAGCCCCAAAGGATCCCCCACCCCGCCCGGCCCTCGGCCCCTCGGCCCCTCGGCCCCTCCGCCCGGGCTTTGCTCGCCCGGCCCGCGGGCTCCACCTCAGGTTTTCACTTTTCGCTCCCGAGCGAGAACGAAACGACAAAACGCGAGAAAACAATAAAACGCTACAATGCGAAGTGAACGGCGCTGTGCGCTCTGTGGGCCGCGCGGGACTGGGGCGCTGCAAGTGCGTGAGGAGGGACTAGAGGCGGGGACCAGAGGTTGGGCGCCCCCCGCTCGGCGGCAGCTGCACCCCGGGGGCGG